GATTACTACGTGGGCAGCTGGGAGAGGGCAGGGACAACATGTAGTACTCACCAAGCAGCATGAGCGATGCAACCACCAATGCTACCCTGTCAGTACTGTATTTACCTCAGAAGTCATCCTTCCCTTGCCCACACCAACCCTGTTCTTGGGCAAGCCAATTTCCAATACACCAAAAGCATAAAAATTTGGAAGTTGCTGCCGCTTCCAGTAGCACTTGGCATCTCCAGTTGAACTTGATCTTAGCAATGGCTGCTCAGTAAATGAATTCAACTCAACATTGCAGGTAGCAGCTCTTAGACAGCTTTAGGCACCAGATTCTCTACTTTTCTTTCTCTGGCTGAGATAGTTGAGCATACTAAAAACTAGGTTAGCTGGTATGGCCAGAACTCTCACAAATCTTCTATTCCTTACATAACATTTTTTTCTTTTGTAAGAGAGAAAAAAGCTTCAAATGCAAAATATTTTTTTCTTTCTCTTTTTTTCTGCCAGTTTACATAAAGTGATGCATATGCATTTACCTCCTGATTGAGGCTTTTTTCACAGAACTTTGCAATGAAAATCTATGAAAACTCTCTCCAACCTTTATCAAGTTTTCAGTCTATTACCCAAGGTGAAGATCAAGAATAGGACCAAAAATCATATGCAGGTTTGTTCTCCACACCCCCCTCTTCCAATTTCAGTGTTGAGTTTTCAGATAAGTCTAGTGATATATCTTCCAGCTGTTTTAAATCTTCTGTACCATTTCTATTTTACTTAGATGACAGAACCAGACATTAGAATTTTTCACCATAGGTCTCATGGACGGAAAATATGTGAAGAAAGATTAAAAATAAAATTACAAAAAGGGGGCAATGAGAAACATAGTAATTCCTGCCATCTTAATGTGTTCTTCTAATCACCATGTTTTATTATCTTCAGGCACAAATCTTCAAAGTGCTTTTGTTCCTGCAGGATGGAGAATGTCTATTGGTCTTTTTTTCTTTTTAAAGAATCTTGAAAGTTGTCCTCTTTTGATAGTAAATGGAATTGTTTACAAGTTTATGACTCTTTTACTCTGATTGGATTTTAGAGTCTCTTTGAACTGCTTAATGTATTAAAATTAGGCTCTTTTTAATCGAGTAATTCTTTTGCTAGAAATCTGACATATTGCAGATTAAATTGTTTTCTAAAGATTCTGTATATCTGTATTTACATACATTTGAAATCTATTATAAAGATCTAAACTTTTTGGGAAAGTCAATATTAAGTTCAGATGGGGAGTGCCAAAGGTGATTGTATGTGAAACAGCCCAAATAAATGCCAGTGAAATCTTTTATCTCATAATGTGCCATTACGTATTTTGTTCTGAACTTTTTTATAGGAACTATCTCATATTTTGGCAATATTTCTGGGTCTTTAAAACTGTGTTGTTTTTCATATGCCTTCAGTCTCCCACATGCAGAGTCGTTTTAACTTCCTTCTTGGGCCCAACTGTTCTGTGAAACTACTGCCTTCTTACTCAGGGGATTGGTTTCCTGTATGTGCTTACAGGGAAAAAGATGTTATACCTCAGAGTGCACAGAACCAAAAAGGTAGCTGTAGGGGGTCAGCTACATTCCTAACTGGAACTTCAGAACCAGAATCTTTCCAATTCATAAGTAAGACTCTCATGCATTAATGTGACAGGAGCTTCAACAGTGTAAGCTGAAGTAAATGAGATCTGAATTTGTCCTAGTATAACAATTTTGATATATTCAATTTTGATATATTCTTATTGCTTTTTAATTCTGAGAAGCAAGTTTTTCTTCCAACTAGGTTTTCTTATAGACTTAAGAAACTAAAGTATCACAAAGCTTCTTATGTTTTTGTTACATAATAAAAGCATAATAACCCCAGTAGACATTGCCGTCCCATATTTCCTGTTATAAGAACCTCTTCTGCATATGAACATATCGAAGTTAAATCTTTGGTCTCAAATTCTCTAGTTGTCTACTAGAATAATTTATTTTTGTTGAATGTTTCAGCTAACACAGCTCAGCTATTTTTAAGGATGAAATAATGTGAAAATACTTTCTTGCATTAATTTTAATTACCTTTACCATGCCATCTCTGGAAAGTTAATTGAGGTTAAATTTGGCCCAGTTTATAATAAACGTGTGCATGGCAGCTCAGAGCAGGGAGAGAATTTCTCTTCTTGTCTCTGATCTGCTGCAGAACGAAGTGAGGTTGTCCTCACTCTCAACGTAGGAGCCTATGGAAGGAGACTGGAGGAGCACAGGAGGCATCAGGTAAAAAAAGAATCAGGGACTGGGATTAAGGTGAGAATGAGGCAGACACCAGGGAGATAGGAATAAGGAGGACTGTTTCTTTCTCTTCACAGGCATGTCTGCAAAGCAGAGAGCAGCTTTCTACTATCAGTTTACTTCTCTATGTTAAGCAATACTGGGTATATACTGAGTATCTGAAGCTACCTGGTTTGCTCTGTGGAAAGATGAAGAGCTGATTTAGCTCCGTGGCAGGAGACAATTAGATCTGTTTTACAGGAGGGATGAGTGTCTGCTACTGTTGACACTGACATGCAGGAAGAGCTTCAAAACCTGAGAGCACCGAAAGCCCAGTTTGTTGCCTTCTCAGACAGGGGACAAGGAGGCAATTTGAACTCCAGGTGTTCCTGAGTTTTGAGTACTTGATTTTGTAACCTTGACATAGTTTAAAAAATATATAGTACCAACTGCAAAGAAACAAAGTATATGAACTAATACATAAGGAAAAAAAACCAATAGTAAAGAATTAATAAAATAATTCTGTCTCTACTATGCTGCAACTCTGTGCAAAGGGATAGAATTTTTCCTGTGCCTAAGTGGTAATTGAATTGGATTTTAAACATTGTAATATTTGAAGCTGGATGCCAAGGTTACCAACACCAGCAAACTGTGTGTAGTAGCTCAGTGATGAGTATACCGTGATTTTATGTAAACATCATGGAGTGATGAAAGGTGAAATCTGAAAAACAGTGAAATGAAATTAAAGCAATAGCTGTAAACAAAATAGCTGCATTTATTAAAATGAACAAAAATCTATAGTCTTTGTTTTGGACTGGATCCTCTGTTGACTCAGTTTGCTTAAACCCATTTATGGTAGCTATTTCCAGCAGCTGGAGAATCCAGCCCAAAATGCAGGGTTTTTTCCCCCAGTTCTTACTCTTGGTTTACAGCCTCCTTTAGGTTATTTACAGGAGAAAATGGAAATTGTATTTTGTATGTGTTTACCAGGGAGAAGAAGGGGGTATTAACCCCAGCTCATCACTATCACTGCACAGCCTGTGCTGCATGCCCTCTTACACCATGTGATGTACTTAAATCGGCATGATTGCACAGCTTCTCCCTTCAGAGCAGGTCTCTGCCTGCCCTGTTCTGAATGCTGCACGCAGATTCTTTCAGGGTATGATTTGCAGACTTGTAGTCTTAAATCATACCACTTACTGTGAAATATAATTTTAAATGTAATAGCATTGCAAAGTTTCCATGATTGCTGTATAAAGACCTCCCCTAGATTTTGCAGGATACTCTGCAGAGTAGCACTCGACAGTCCTCAAGAGTACATCTGTAAACTAATCAGTCCATCTGAAAAGAGTGAAGATTTAGCAGCTGAACGGGGTAAAGTATTGCATATTCCAGTATAGAAATACTGGCAAGAAAAATGTGTTGCTGTGGGACAGGAGATTTGATATTCAGAAAGAATTCATATCCATTATTAAACCCTGATTCAGCAAAGTTTTTAAGCATGTTCTGTTATGCGCCTATTAGCTTTTCATTTTGCTGCAAAGAGCTCAACTGAGTCAGAAGCAGCAACACAAATGGAAAGGTGGAGATGAAGTCTTTCATGGATTTGCTCACATAAATTTTATTTCGTGATGATGTTAAATGAGTACAAATAATAAGAATTCTGGCTTCTGGCAAATTAGTGTTATGAGACTTCAACAAGGCTAAGAGTTCAGACAGATCATCTGTTTCTTGCAGGTTTTGTTCACAACTGTAATAGAAGCTTTTTAAAAAATGAAAAAAACACCGGATTTTTGTCTGATATGAAGTAGTCTAAGAAACAATACAAGATTGCCAGCCTACTTTTAACCATCTTGATCTGATCTCTGTCTGCAATTCCCTTTTTGAGCTACTGTTATGCCTTCTGTGATTCCAGATAGTCACTGCCAGCTAATCAAGTACCTTAACCTTCAAATGCTGACCTTACTCTCTAGGTGGTGTCAGATTCCTTGAACTTAAGGGTCATATTATCCTGTTTGTGGAGCTATAGGTCCTCTCCTAGTAGCAACTAATACAAATAGAGGCTTCAATTGTGGAGTCTTATTTTACGGACATTTGTGAGCACTTATTTTGTGTATTATATTGATGGTCTTTTTCAGCTGTTTGCATCTTAGGGCTTATTTGACCTGCCCAAAAGCAGGGAGACAAGAGCAGTGGTGGGTAAAGTTACGACTGCACCGGTACGATTAAATTAAGGAAGGTGAGGACTGTACGGGGGTTGTTGATACCACTCCACCTCTTTGGTTTCTTCTCCATTTTACTAAAAAGGAACTAAATAATTTTATCCTCATCCACTCTGCTCATCTTATTCTATGCTGGAGAAAAATGGACATCATAGAAAGTTGGGTGAGGTAGGAGGGGAACGAAAGGATTAAGTTTCCGAACGTTTCACTAGTCATGACCTTGGTTTCAGTCAAATGGAAGAAGGTTCACATCTGGTATTTGGCTTGAGTCAGAACTACAGTTTTTCCATGGGCAGTGCTGCCAGCAGTATAGTAATTGTCTGTGAGTTCAAGCACCTTTCACCATATTTTGTTATCGTGAAAACGAATGCAGTCATCAGTAATTTATTATTCTTGTCAGACACTGTAAGTTAAGCAAAATGTTCACTTTTAAATGCAACAGAAGGGCTTGTTTCAGGCTATTGAAGGCATCTGATTTTTTTCATTTTTATTCTACCTTTCTTTTTTCCATTTTTAGGGAAGCAATGTAATGGAGGACCAGGATCTCTTGGAAATAGGAATCCTTAACTCTGGACACAGACAGAGAATTCTCCAAGCAATCCAGCTTCTCCCAAAGGTATAGTTTCTGTTATTATCCCAGCAAGGGAACTAATACCTACAGCTTCCACATTATTTAAAACACGTTTTTGAATGGAGATAAATATAACCCCCTACTGTTTTTGTAGAAGTGTGGGGGGTTTTCATATGCAAATGTGGCATAGCATAATGTCATTGCATTGAACTCACTTTGTATTGATGTAATTGACAAACAAAGCAAAGGAGAGTAAAATCTGTAATTTGAAGTTATGGCTGTTTAAAATTTATTTTAATTATTTTGAGCTTTTCAATCTGTTTATAGACTGTCATTCTATATGTGTAAATAAGTCCGTCGGTGAATCCCAGATGTTTGTCTTTACACAGCAGTTGGCCTGGAAGTACTTTGCCCCTTATATAAGTATTCTTAAAAGCCTTGGATGAAACATTATTTTCCTAATACCTGCCTTTCATGCAAGATGCAGAGACTTCCTGCAGGCTTCATATTTGATTTGGTGCTGTGTACATGAATTTTGCTTCTCAGCTGTGGACAGAATAACTTGCAGTCATTTTCCCAATCATTTTTTTGCTAGCTGATTGAAAGTATAGATTTTAAAATCAGTGATAGCAAGGGATTGTTCTTATATTTTGCGTATCAGAATATATCTGTGGAGGCTTCAACTAGCATTCCAAACAAAAGAGAGAGAGGGCCTAGCATGAAAACTTACTATTTGATTTTGGAAAGCTATATAAGGGGAATGAATTAGGAGAAGTATACACTAGTAAGGCTCAGAAGTCTGCCACGTGATGCAGATACTTAGTGCAAGGTACTAGAGCAGGAATAAAACCTAGTGTAAAGTGTGTGGAGTGTTCTGGGAGCAGGATGTGTAGAATAATTAAGGTAAATAGAGCTTAGTCTGCTTGCAGTTTTGTGATACTGGAGAATGAGAAGAGTTTTTAAAGGACTTTTCGGTCTAGAGCATGAGACTGACATGGCTGGAAGAAGCTTTTTGATGCATCATGGCTTACTGGATAGATCACTGGTAAAAGAGAACAAGGGTTTCTTTGGTATGAGGATAATTATAAATTGTGAACAATTTCTGTATCTGGATGTGTTAGTCAATTCATATATACTAAGTATGAGTCCGTGCACTGAAACACTGAAGATTATTGAAGACAATAATATTCCACATGCCATATTAGGCAAGTGAGATAAATGGTACAAGTAGTAGGGTGTATAAAAGTCACATTTGATGAATTATAATAGATATTTAAGGTTTAACTACGAATTTATTAATTTTTCAGCAATGCTATCATTCAAACTACATTTTGATCTTAATCCCTGCCCTTAGCGGATGATGTATTTTTTCCATTTTGCATACTTTTTAGAGAGATCAGCTTTCTTGTATTCTTGTTTAAATTTTTCAAAATTAACAAATGGATTGTTAATATAGCATAATTTAAGTGCTATCTGCAATCAGTAACTGGTGTTTATGGAAACATTGTTAATAATGTCTGCTTTTGAATAGTATACTAATGCTGAGACCAGATTCTGTTATGAAACTCCAACTAAGGTCTTTTTAAAATGTGCTTAATGTGAGAAGGGGGGCCAAAATCAAGATCTAGAGATATTCTTGAAAGCAGTTGAGAACAACATGGCTATGCAGGTACCTGGAAGACACAACATCTTCTGAACCAAAGATAACGAAGTAACACAGAACAGCTTGAAGCATGGGCTGAATAATGGCGATGTAGTATTAAGCAGCTTCCCTGCTGAGCTAGAAAAAACAGTGCTTAAGGATCACGTTTTTAATGTGTCTTTGATGCAAGAATATTACACCAAAACAAAGGCAGTCAAAAGCTGAAGCTGTGCATCACATCTTTTCACTTAAATTACTCAGCAATGCAAGAGAGCTTACATAGTAAAAATACATAATTTCTTATTCAAAATGTAGTTCTCTTGAAGGCACAGCTGTTGGAAGAGTTATGTGGCCCAAAAATTGGGATCATGGCAAGTGTTATGTAATATAACCCACCTTTACTGTGTTTGCAACAGCTTGCTGAAATCCAGAAGACTTTCACATCCTGCAGGGAACTGTGAAACATTTCTGTATATCTGTTTGTTGATAAGTTCAGGTCTGTCATCATAGATTCAAAATAGTGCATATTGTCTAAATATTTTAAGATCCCAAACCATAATTGGAGTTTCACTAATTTGAATCTCATTAGATAAATATTCTTTTAGTTTGTTTGTTTTGAACATGTACCTCTTTTCTGTTCCTCATTTAATTTAAAACTTGATGACTCCTTCTGTTTTAGTACTTAATAGCATTGCTGATGATGTTATTTTCAGTTTTACTATTAATGTTTCCTGTCTTGTGATACTTTTTAAATCAGATTTTGAGGTAGAAGTGCTTTAAAAAGCATCTATGGTACAACACTTCGTTAAAGCCCTATACTCAGGCAGTATTGAATGATCTTCAAGAGTAAAAATCAAGCTACAAATCTATTGTCAAGATTTTAAATTCCCTTTTTTTTAAAGCTATTTTTGTTATTCTCATAAAAATTCATTTCTGCAGCTTAAAAATGCAACAGGCATTTAGTCCCTGAAAAGAAAGACTGTCTGGTTTTACTTATAATTGCTGGCTTCCTAGAGAGTGATAAATTCCTATATTTCAAACACCAGTATCTTGTTTAGGAACCACTTTCTAGCACTTGGAGTAGATTTAAATAGGAAAAAACCCCCAGATATCTGTTCAAATATAGATGAATTAATCATTGTAATTTCTTATGCAGTGTTTAATCAGTACAAAAAGGTATGTTTACCCATATTTCTCAAAGTATTTTTTCCTGATAGTTCTATGTTTGAGAAGAACATTTCATAAGAGTGTAAACTGGTATGTTTGTAAGAGACAGGCAGAGTTGAAATCTTTCATTTAGATTTCTACCTTTCTTTTTGTTGGATTAGAGCTAGTAGCCCAAATTCCCATCTGCACTAATGTAATTTAAGTTATTCAAGTTTCACATTAATATTAACTAGAGTACTTTATGGCTTATTATTATTAGATAAGATTAAGACATTCCACTAGAAATATCATCTGTAAAGTTAATTTTTGAAATATTTTATACATTGCATCAGTCTTAGAGCAAATTTCATAGCAGAGTTTTGCATTTAAGATTTTTGTGTGTGTGAAAAGAATGAAATAATAGATGATTTTATATGTTTCATTGAAGGGAAATTCAGACCTGTGGAGAGGTAGAGACAATGTCTAAAAAGACACTGAAGTTGCAAGTACAAAGACTTGAGAAAAAAAATAGTGAGAAAAGAATTGTGTGCAGGATATGCTTAATTGAGTAAGAAAATAGTAGCTGTCATGACATGATATTTTAGTCACACTTAGTGACATAGGAAATCTAAGGAGCATTGTCAAGTTCTTTCGGCATCCAAAACCTATATGTAAGTGCCTTCTCAATGGATTCCTCAAAATCTAAAATGTTTTTGAAAATAAAAGTTATTCTAGCTTATATGATAACTTAGATAAGAAAAAGGATTGTGTTTGTGTGGGATGCTCAGTGTATGGCTTCTTCTCCCAGCACATAACGGGAACACATTCTCTCGTTTGACAGATGGAAGAAAGATGTTAGCTGAAAGCAGCTTTCTCCTGGCTTCAGAGCTATTCTTAAAGTATGCAGCTTGTTACTTCCTGCATGGAGAGGTTTCAGCACAAAGCTTGGGAATCTTGTAGCGGTGGTGTGCAGGCAGCCAGCCTGTTTCCTGGATGCTTTGCAGAACCAGACAAGTAGGATATGGGCAGGGTACGAGCACTTGCTCTCTGTGAGTTGTGCTACTTGAGGAGTAAAACTGTTCTTCCAAAAAGTGCTGTATCCATTGCTCGTATGTAACAGTTTTTTGTGCAAGCACAGTTAAGTTTGGCATTTAGGAAAACAGAACTACTGTGCATGTGCACATTAACTGTGCTGTGTACGTAACAAAGACCACCTGATGATGACACCACGTTATCCTGCTCTGAGGAAGCTTTCATGTTTCTTACAGCACAGCTTTGAACAGTATTGTTTCCTTGGGGCTCTAGTTACCACCCTGTGGGATCTTCTGTGAAGCTGAGGAGATTGATGGGTTTTCTGGCCATCATAATAATGCCATTAGTAAAAGTTGGATGATAATATAATCATTAGAGAAGTAACAAGAATTTCAGCATACAATTCTGAGCTAGGCAACAGAAAGTGAGGCAGTTAAATTAGAAACTGCACTGTTTTGTCCATGTGCCTTTTCTCCCATTGAAGGTGGTATGGTTGTCAACCACTTGATTCAGACTTTGTCCCTGTTAGGGATTGAAATGCATTTGGTGCATGACTGGTGCTGATCTGGTTTACTTTCCTCCAAAAAGAAAGCTGGATAATGCGTACCCAGACAATTTTGCAAAACAAACAAATACAAAGTAGATTACTTTTAAATCATACTGTGGCACTAAACCATAGTACAGTTGGGCCAAAAAGATCACCACTAGTTCAACCCTTGAATGGGATAAAAAGCTAATGTTGCAGCTGATAGCATGTTATCTAAAGTAAAACAGGCAGAGCTACTCAGGATCCAGCAAAGGATGAAAGTTTGACTTTGGAGATGTCAGTCTGTGCTAATATCCAATTTTTGAAAGCATGCCTGTGAAGCTCTAGTTCTGTCCACTGAAGTACCAACAAATACCCGTGGGACTGCTTTTAGAAATTATACTCATAGAAACTCTTGAGATCAAAATATCATAGCTTCCACTTAGTCCACAAATTCCAGATTTAGGTCTTCTTAAGATTACATTATATGCAATTGAAATGTCCTGAATGAGACCTGTTCTTCCCTTGTGTCAGACATTGTGTCTGATGAAGAACTAGGAGGTCTTTTCAGTCTTCTGGATGTGTTTAATTTTTCCAGGAAAAAGAACAAGTATGTGTGCATCTATTTTCCTTTACATTCAGAAGATAGATTTCAACTTCAGAAATCAGAGAAAGGGTGCCTGTTGCAATGCTGGCAAT